TAGCTGTGTAACTCAGTATACCTGCTGTAGCAGTCTTAGCTGTGTAACTCAGTAGACCTGCTGTAGCAGTCTTAGCTGTGTAACTCAGTAGACCTGCTGTAGCAGTCTTAGCTATGTAATTTGAAGCTAGTAGATAATATTGAGAGAGAAACTCAGTAGACTATGTTACACTTCCAGTGACTAGGTAACTAAGTTAATTTGATAATGGTTAGTAAATTACTTGACAGTTTAAAGGGAGAGTTCACTCTAGGTTCTAGTGTTATTTTCAGCTAATTTAGGTTATAATTACGCTACATGAAAAGTTTCATGGTTCAATCACCATTAGAAATATTTAAAAAAAATGTTTTAAAACTAACGACTACAGTTTGATTGCAACGATAGTGGCGCCACTCAAAGCGCACGATCTAATAAGTTGCGCAAAACCACTTTCCAGCCAAGGGCTACAGACCGAGGGTGTTTCTTATTTATTCATTTAAAAGCAAAAGAATTGTAATATCTTATATAAACGACATATAGTTTCAGTTATAATATGGATAAATTTGCCCTAAAATGAATATCGTTCGGTTAAATAGCATTTAGGTATAAATATAATTGCACTTTTGTGATTAGCCCTCGGTCTGTAACGTGCAAGATAAATTGTCAAATACGCAACTTTTTCGGGGTGGCAGCACGGTCGCGGGTGTCATAGCGACGTTCAAATTTCGTAGTGTTGATGTGTAATTAATTATAACAATTAAATTAGGTATCTGGTGACAAATACACGTGGGTATAGACGATTTGTTATACAGTAAGTTAAGTTGTATGCAGTAAAATCTTAGAGGCTACTGTCCCTTTAAGTATTATCACCGTTACTATGTAAGTAGGTAGATCATCCAATTATTACTAACTAGTTGTTAAGAAACTTGTTAGCAAATGTTCAAACTATCTTTGTGTACATGTGCTACTGATAACGTATTACCATTTATTAATTTCTCTATTAGTATTAGCATAGTTATTCATCTGTTTGCGTATGTGAGTACCTGTGTGGTGTGGGTGGGTGCGTGTGTCCCGAGGCGAGTGCATATGGTGTATGTCAATCACCTGTCTGTATGCGTTTCCTCCACAGTATCTAAAGGTTGTGAGGGATATGGATGGCTATGGTGAGATCGTGTTTCCTCACTGCTCGTGTGATTCTCGTAAGGATGGTCATGTGATTGCTGTATTTAGCATTCACAGCTTCAAACTACAGGCCTGCAAAGGAGACGGAAGCCCGGAGGTAAGTAGCCATGACAACTGTATACAATATACACACGACCATACGTCATTTTGAGTCGTTCGACTCGAGTCACATGTTTGTCTTGTTTACTAATTGTGGTGCTGCAAAAATTGGTTTGGTTCTATTCCCTTTCTATGAATTTGATAACATGTATGGCTGTTTCCTCTGTTCCGCAGGAAAGGCGTTGTTAAGATAGAAGTTGCGTTTGTCCCTCACCTTTGAAGAAAATGTTTGTCTCCGTGCTGTAAAGTTGCTGCTTACATTATTGTCCATCCTCACGCCATGTTCTTCCCTAGATCGTTATGTTATTGTCCATCCTCACGCCATGTTCTTTTCTTGGATTTGTTATTACCTGGCGCACGTCACCTGGCCGCATTACTGTGTAGTTGCTTGTGTGAGATCTGCTGCTGGTGTTTGCAGGAAGGAAGCAGAGCGACTGGAACCCAGCGATGAGTCGTCGGGCTACTCCTATATAGACTACAGTGAGAAGCGCTCACTGCCCATCTCTGTACCAGATTACCAGCACATCACTGAGAAAAATGGGGACAAGTATGTGGTGAGCATTCGAATTTTTGATTGCCGAGTGACAGCAGGGTTGTGGGAGCAGATGTCATGTTGTCAGTGAAGGAAAGGTTACGGTGGGTTATGGAAACGTGACAAACCATCTCGTCTGCTTGCCATGAATGCATATCTGATGCTGTGTTCCTCACTGCAGGTGTTCAACATATACATGGCTGGCCGACATCTATGCTCAAGGCGCTATCGTGAATTTGCCAACCTGCATGCAACGCTGAAGCGTGAGTTTGTGGATTTCAACTTTCCGAAGCTTCCCGGCAAATGGCCGTTCTCTCTGTCAGAGCAACAGCTGGACACGCGGCGGCGAGGGCTGGAGCAGTACCTGGAGAAAGGTTTGTGTAAGCTGACCCGTGTGCACCCTCCTACACGCTCGTGGCACCTAACGTCAGCATCCACGCCAGCAAGTTATTCGCTGCTATGCTTCTGCTCCTGTTGCCTCGCTTTTCTCCTCCTGCTTTCTTATTTTTTTGTTCTCTCTCATGCATCTGCAACTTTGATTCCTCATGGGCATGATATTGCTTGTGAGAATTTTACTGTGTTTTTTACGTTCGGCAACTATTGCCTCACCTTTACTCTGCCACTACATTCCTTTCCTTTTTTCACCACGTGTAGAACCTTCCAGAATCTTTACCATGTATTTTCAAAATCTGTGAATTACACAATATATCTGTGATGTCATAGCTTCATCAATCTCTGCTGCGATTTAATGATAGCTTGTAATAGCCGCGTGTATATATGTTCATGTAAAAATGAGTTGATATAAAGTTTGTACCTGTTTGCCTTGTAGTGTGCGCTGTGCGAGTGATAGCAGAGAGTGACATTATGCAGGAGTTTCTGACGGAGGTTGACAGTAGTGAGGTGAGTGACTACTTGCTCCACCTAGTGGATTTATATTTGGATCCCCTGGTGGACGTACCATTTATTCTATTACAACCCACATAGAGGAGGAATGCTGCCTCATACTACATATCAGGCTCTAGTTAGCGTAGTTCATCTAAGTGATTGTTTGTACGTTTAAGACTTACTCTGATTTATGAGATATCAGTTGAAATGATTTCATCATGAAAATGCATTCGGCATATATTTCCTAGTTTTCCTGTTCTCGTTCGTCTATTGCTATTCATTACACATGTAACGTTGAATTAACTTTCGATGTTTAAAAGATGAGGAAATCCAAACTTGTGTATTAAACTGAATAAACTTTAATAACTGGCAGACAGTGTAGTCACATCTTGCACAGAGAGACAAAGAAACGCGCACACGCGCGTAAGCGTGTGTTTTTACTCCTGCGACCACAACCAGACTCCTCCACTCCTCCACTCCTTCATCTCCCAAAACCCCTACATCCCAAGCGCACATGTCACCCGTTCTTCCAGACCGCGCCCTACATTCATTTCACAATGACCCTAGAAACGTCCGACCTAAAACACGTTTACCATTCTCCCTATAACATCAATGTAGTCACACAAGATGCGCGACGCTCTGTCTACATAGACTACCACTAAAACAACCCCGAGTCTAGCCGCACTCCACATCTCTAACTAATTTATATAACATATGTAACTCATATGTTACACACACCTGTTACCCGTGTTTACACGTGTTTGTTCTCGCGTTACAGAACTCAACGGCTGTCTCTGACGTGGATATGAAAATATTGCTTCCTGATAAGAATGTGCTCACCATCACTATACGTAGGAACAGTACAGCTGAGCATGTGTATAATGTGAGTGTGCACCCTCTCTAAACGTTCTACCTGTGAGGGACGAAAAAGGCCAACTTCAGATTGAAATTTTAAAATTACAGTGTTATTGAAATATATCATCTATCCTTTGTCACCCTTGCAGGTGATATCTGGAAAGCTAAAATGGTTCCACACTGCTATGTGTTGATTTTTTTTACAGATTATCACGCATAAATTAGGGCTCACAGCTGAGACTGCAAAATACTTTGCTCTGTTCGAAATTATAGACTATAACTTTGGTAAGTAGCAGTTCGATTTTCTTGATGGTTAGTTTGTCCTTCTTATAAACCCTCTTCATTATCTGTATTAATCCAAGAAAGTTTTATGAGTAGGGTGATGTCACAAAACGAGGGCTGTTGTTGAATTTAATCAGGTTGAGGTATAGAGTTAGGATAGGGAAGGCTTAGGTTACTTTACTGTTTTAGAGGGTCATGGTTATTCTTGAGGGGTAACAAACACTACAGCTACTATTTGGAAGGGATTTATGAATCTGTATATAAATGTATATGTTATGTACGTATAAGCTACACACTGAGAGTGTCGCTAACATGGGTCATCTCATATTTTACATAGTCAGTATGTAACATATTGTGTGAGTATGTAGACCTCTCGGGCTGCATGTGACTCGGTTAGGCAGTGTCTGTGTGATTATAGCATTTGTTAGACAGTGTGTACCTTAGGCACGCGTTGTCAAATGTCCACCATTACATGCATAGATACAGCTTACACAAGTATCTATAACAGTTCTGTAGGCTTTGTTTAGCTCACATGGGCAAAATTTTGTTGTCATGTGCTTCTTGGAACTTACAAAGGGTGTCTTAAGCTTGCGCTGACTAGAAATAGCATACGAATACTACTTGTAACTAACAGGTAGCATTGAACTCGCACATTCTTCATGTAGCTCTCGTTATTTCTCTCAGAGAGAAAGCTACAGCCGGGCGAGTTTCCACACAACTTGTACATACAGAACTACAGTACTGCTACGTCTACTTGTATTGCCTTGCGCAAATGGCTCTTCTCCCTCAACAAGGAGACTCAGGTCACTGATGAGAAAGCTGCAAACTTCTTCTTCTGGCAGGTAATGCTGCTAGTAGTGTTTCCATGACAGTCCGTCAGTGGTGATGCATGTGTTATGATAATGGTGAGGTATGATGATAATACACAGTGTTAACACAAACTCATGATAACTACGATCAAGGTAACGATTGAGATAGTGACTGGTGACGACCATGATTATTAGGATAATTAAAAGACAGTGGTCAAGAGTATTGGTGCTGTTGGTGGTGACGATGATGATGACAATGACGGCGGTGTTGGTGCTGGTGATGATGACAATGACGGCGGTGTTGGTGCTGGTGATGGTAGGGTGATGATGACAGTCGACGGGGTTGTGGTGGTGATTTGGGTAGTGGTGATATGATGACAATGACGCCGGGATGGTTGGTGCTGGGTGCAGGTAGTGGTGATGATGACAATGACGGCGGTGTTGGTGCTGGTGATGGTAGTGGTGATGATGACAATGACGGCGGTGTTGGTGCTGGTGATGGTAGTGGTGATGATGACAATGACGGCGGTGTTGGTGTGGTGATGGTAGTGGTGATGATGACAATGACGGCGTGTTGGTGATGGTGATGGTAGTGGTGACAAGGATGACGATGGTGACGGCGTTGGTGATGGTGATGGTAGTGGTGATGATGACAATGACGGCGGTGTTGGTGCTGGTGTGGTAGTGGTGAATGGCATGACAATGACGGGCGTGTGTTGGCTGTGCTGGTGATCGGTAGTTGGCTGAACAAGGATGACGAGGTGACGGCGGTGTTGGTGCTGGTGATGGTAGTGGTGACAAGGATGACGATGGTGACGGCGGTGTTGGTGATGGTGATGGTAGTGGTGACAAGGATGACGATGGTGACGGCGTTGGTGCTGGTGATGGTAGTGTGACGAAGGATGACGGATGGGGTGACGGCGGTGTTGGTCTGGTGATGGTAGGGTGTGGATGGATGATAATGACGGGGTTGGTGTGGTGATTGGTAGTGGTGACAAGGATGACGATGGTGGCGGCGTTGGTGCTGGTGATGGTAGTGGTGATGATGACGATGGTGACGGCGTTGGTGCTGGTGATGGTAGTGGTGATGATGACAATGACGGCGGTGTTGGTGATGGTGATGGTAGTGGTGACAAGGATGACGATGGTGACGGCGTTGGTGATGGTGATGGTAGTGGTGACAAGGATGACGATGGTGACGGTGTTGGTGATGGTGATGGTAGTGGTGATGAT